TTGTAAATGTTACTCGTCGTTTTTTTAACCTGTATTGGAATACATTTGACATTTTCGAAGCAATTCTAAGTAAGGTTAGCATATATTTTTTTTTTCAGAATTTAACTCTTCAGGGAGGCGGGGAAAGTTTAGTGAAGGGTTTTTGATCCAAGGCACTGCAACTGCCATCGTTTTTCATGGGTGGAACCTAACTGCTTTTTGTTTTCCTCGGGTTCCGAATAATTCTTGTCGTTAATTCTGTTAATAAGTCTTTTGTTAATTCTGTTAAGGCCTTCTGTTGTTAATTCTGTTAATGTCTTCTGTTATTTCTATTAATATGTCTTCTCTTAGTATTAATTCTGCCTCACTTTCAAGTTCTCTTTTTGTGTGCTACAGTCCTCTCAGAAAATTTATCGTGCCTTCTATTCTTCAGAATAGAAGGATCTATAATATCATGACTTCAGATTGGGAGGATCTATAATATCATGACTTCAGAATAAGAGGATCTATAATGGCCCTTCCATTATGAAGTCCAATATTCTGTTACTTCCTTCATTTCTTTCCTCATTCCGGCTACATAAACAAAGCTGAGAGTTACATTGACTCTGTCACTCGGTGGATTCAAGTAGTTGATCTTATATGTTCTTACTGGATGATCATGCTGGCTTATCTGTCCATCTTACTTGTATTATTTTACTGACGTGTTCACTTTGGAAAATTCCTCGTTGGTGCTTCAGTTAGTTCTGTTCTCCGTAGATTCTCATCTTCCGGGGAGGGGATGAGAAGTTTGTCTCACTTTTTCCATTCTTCTGCTGGTGAAATCTCTTTGGCTCTCTCTCTCTGTCTGTCTCTCTCTCTGTCTGTCTCTCTCTCTCTGTCTCTCTCTCTCTGTCTCTCTCTCCACACACACATTTTCATTTTCCTGTTCTCATCACTCCTCTTCCTCGGCTTTCCATTTATTATCACATTAATGGTCTTCATATACCGACAAGATGAATGAGACATGTGCCACACTTGACTGTCTTTATTGCCGAATCGCTTCGCCTGCTCAGCAGGCTTTTTCATTTGAATTTGGAGGCGACTATTGTATTGGAGAGATTCTTTGCTCCTGTCTCAGCCTCTTAACTTGCCACTTGCCAAAGTCACATCCTCGTGGGCCCTGTCATACCTACTCTTAAAGCTATGTACAAAGCCTGCCTCCACAACTTCGACAAGGTCGTTCCAGATCCTCTCCACTCAGACTGAAGAAACACTGTGATCTCTGCGGTTCTTCTGTATCTTTATCTTAAAGCTCTGACTTGTATGAATTTCTTGGGTTTCCTAGGTTCTCTACACATATGCTGCTATGTATGATAATCTATATAACTGTATTTGTGTATACCTGAATAAACTTACTGACCCCCTTAATACCTTTTTCTCGCCTCTCCAAAAGCTTATCTCTGTCTACCCTAGAAATTTTTATACAAGGATTCAGTTCTATTAGCTTGTTCTCGTACTTTTTATGACTTAGTACTAGAACTATAGTCTCGCTACATATTTTTGCACTTTCTCTTGTTTCTTAACATGCTTTCTTAGGAGTGGGCTCCATACTGGTGCTGCTTACTCCAAGAGGGATGTGACATATGTTGTATAAAGAGACTGGAATGACTCTTCGGTGAGATTCCTGAAGGCTACAGCTTAGATTTGCCAGACGAGCATTAGCTGCAGAGGTTATTCAGTTGATGTGAGCCTCTGGTGATATGCTAGACACTATGCTCATCCATAGGTCTCTCTCTGTTGCCCCTCTGTCCCCCGAGTCTATACTCCGTATCAGGTCTTTCTTTTTTTTGACTACTTCAATCTTCATAACCTAAGCATTTGCTTGAGTCAATCCAGCAGTTAATTCAGATGCATTTTTAGCCGTTTCTTATCCTCGTCTGTCATTTCCTCAACAGTTTTACAACAGCAGCAGACAGGGATACATCTGACTCAATTCCATGTGGTATGTCATTTATGTAAACCGTGAACAGTATTGGTCCTAATATCGATCATTGTAAATCCTCGCTATTTACTTTTTCTTTCTGACGTCTCTTCCAGTTCAGTCACACTGTACTAGTCTCCCCTAAGTTACTCTGTGATCCACTGGAGTATGTATCATGTTATTCCTGTTTCCAGCCTCCTCAGGATTTTGCACACGTCTCTTGTAGGGTATAGTATCAAATGTCTTCTTGTACTCTAAAATATTGTGTGTGTGTGTGCTCACCTACTTGTGCTGGCAGGGTTCGAGGCGCATCTCCTCTGTGTGTGTACTCGCCTAATTGCTCTCACATATGTGGTTACAGGGGTCGATTCATAGCTCTTGGTCATAGCTCTTCGCTAGTAGCTACTAGGGCCAAGAGCCCTATCGTACCTCATCTTAAAGCTTGTATGAATCCCTCCATTACTTCCAGATTATTTCACTTCCTGACAATTCTAAGGCTGAAGAAATACTTTCTAACATCCTAATGACTTAACTGAGTTGTGTCCCCTTGTTCCTGTGTCCCATCTCTGAAACATTCTGTCCCTGTCCACCTTGCCAATTCTTCTCAGTGTGTGTGTGTGTGTGTGTGTGTGTGTGTGTGTGTGTGTGTGTGTCAACGAAAAGAGGCGAGAGGCAGAAGAACCACTGAAACGCGAAGATTAATCAGCGCTAAGACCCACTGAGAAATCTGAAATCTGTCACCCGCCAGCGGGAAGAACGAAACTCGATACTACTGACAGATTCCGTGTCGCTACACGAGCAAAATAATTCACCATTGAAAGAGAAGAAATCAGCAAAATAAGACTCAAAAAACAAGTGCATTTCTCCTCCGTATATTCTCCCTGAAACACAAATCGAGAGGAACCACCATGAACGGGAGAGACGTGTGTGTACGAATATGAGTGAAAAATAGCTGCTGTGCGTGAATTTATGGTATGGTCTGGCACAGCAGTGAAGACAGCACGGCGACGGGTATCGAGCGGGAAGATCCCGAAGTATTGCTGATGCAACCCAGACGAGGCTGGAGGAGGCATGTCCAGCCACTCAGTTCCTCCATCCTCAGCCTACCACCGCCGCCGCTGCCACCACCACCGTCACCACCTCCACCGCCACCACCACCACCGCCGCCTCCATCGCCACCGCCGCCGCTGCCGCCGTCACCACCATCGCCGCCACCACCACCACCACCACCACCACCACCGTCGCCGCCGCCGCCCAAGCCACCGCCCCCGCCACCACCACCACCACCACCACCACCACCACTACTACTACTACTATTACTACCACCAGTAGTAGTTTGGAGCCCACACCTTGCCAAGCATGTAAGGAAATTAGAAAAAGTGCAAAGATTTGCAACAAGATTAGTCCCGGAGCTAAGGGGCATGTCCTACGAGGAAAGGTTAAGGGAAATCGACCTGACGACACTGGAGGACAGGGGATGATATGATAACGAAATATAAAATACTGAGAGGAATCGACAAGGTGGGCAGAGACAGGATGTTCCAGAGATGGGACACAGCAACAAGGAGTCGCAATTGGAAGTTGAAGACTCAGATGAACCACAGGGATGTTAGGAAGTATTTCTTCAGTCACAGAAGTGTCAGGAAGTGGAATAGTCTGGGAAGTGATGTACTGAAATCAGGATCCATACATAGCTTTAAGAAGAGGTATGATAAAGCTCATGGAGCAGGATGAGTGACCGAGTAGCGACCAGTGAAGAGGCGGGGCCAGAATCTGTGAATCGACCCCTGGAACCACAACTAGGTGAGTTACACACAGTTGTGTGGCAGGACTATTATGTGGGAAGCAACTATGGCTGGTTACTACCCTCACTCTATCTCCCCTCAAGGGAGGTTCCGTGACGCTGGTGAGGGGCTCTTGATCTAGGGAATTGGATCTGTGCTCCACTTCCCTGAATTTAAGCTGAATACCTTCCACTCCCCCCTCACGTGCGCTGTATAATCCTACGGGTTTAGCGCTCCCCCATGATTATAATAATACCCACTCACTACCTATTAAGGATGTTTGGTTTAAAACCGATCAGAAGAACCATTCTCTAGTTAATCATGAAATCTATTTTTTTTTTAATTCTCTGGTTATTACTTGCACAATCTTAAGTCACTGATGATCTCTGAGTGCAACACCCAAACCTTAAAAGTTTAAATCCGACCAAAAGAAGCATTCTTTAGTTATTAGACAGATTCCGGCAATTTGAAATTTACTAATACATTTTATTGACTTGGCAAATTTTCACCCAAAAAAAAAAAAAACTTTTATAAGATGCATCAAAAATTAAAAATTAAAGCCAAGCAGAAGAGGCTTACTCAAAGTATTTCAAGAAAAAATACTTAACTGTTAAAAATGTATTAGCAAATTAGCTAGTAGAGACTTCCGTAACAATCTAGTGTTGATAGTTTGATGCCGATCGGAAGAGGCATTCTCTACTTTTCCCATGAAAATCAAATTTTAAAAGGGCTTTAACCTTCCTCTAGTTACTGGTCACCAGTGTTGAAAGTTTGAAGCTTATCGGGTGAGGCGGTCTCAAGGTATGTACAAAAACCTGGGAGCAAAATAATTCTGTGAAACATATTAATGTCCGTCGTTGATACCTAAAGATAAATAATGTAATCTTTTATGTGTCTCATTCTCCTGCAGTAATGAAAGTGTAAGCCTGTCTGTCTTCCCTGTAAAAGCCTGTGGAATGTGATCCTGTCTGTGCTGCAGAAGTTACCAGAATGTAATCCTGTTTATTTCTCCGGCAGAAGTTAATGGAATGTAATCCTGTTTATCTCTCCGGCAGAAGTGGATGAAGTGTAATCTTCTCTCTTCCTCCTACAGAAGTGGGTGGAGCATAATTTCTCTCTCTCTCTCTCTCTCTCTCTCTCTCTCTCTCTCTCTCTCTCTCTCTCTCTCTCTCTCTCTCTCTCTCTCTCTCTCTCTCTCTCTCTCTCTCTCTCTCTCTCTCTCTCCATTCTGGAAAAGTGCCTGAAGTCTAATCGTCTCTCTCACTTCCCTCCTGCAGAAGTAGGTGGCGTGAAGGAGGTGGTGGTGAAGCGGGTGAAGGTGCCGGAGTACGCTGACCGAGGTGACCAGGTGGAGCTACGGTGTCAGTGGGAGTTGGCCCGGGACAAGCTCTACTCCCTCAAGTGGTACCTCAATGACCGTGAATTCTTCAGATTCATGCCTGAAGAGGAACCTAAAATCACCGTACATCCACTGCCCGGCGTCACTGTCAACGTACGTACTACTATAGCAGTCGTAGTCGCAGTAGTAATAGTAGTAGCCTCACCGTCTGTACTACTAAGACAGTTAGTGTTAGTCGGACTCATACTTTTTCCGCTCGTGTTGTTTTGCTTGAGTTGTCTTCTTCATGTTATGGAACACTAGACATACACAACAGCTGTTGTATATCCAGCAGTCTACAGTATGCCAGACATACACAACTGTTGTTGTATGTCCCGTAGTCTACAATATGCCAGACATACACAACTGTTGTATATCCAGCAGTCTACAGTATGCCAGACATACACAACTGTTGTTGTACGTCCCTCAGTCTACAATATGCCAGACATACACAACTGTTGTATATCCAGCAGTCTACAGTATGCCAGACATACACAACTGTTGTTGTACGTCCCGCAGTCTACAATATGCCAGACATACACAACTGTTGTTGTACGTCCCGCAGTCTACAATATGCCAGACATACACAACTGTTGTTGTACGTCCCACAGTCTACAATATGCCAGACATACACAACTGTTGTTGTACGTCCCGCAGTCTACAATATGCCAGACATACACAACTGTTGTTGGACGTCCCGCAGTCTACAATATGCCAGACATACACAACTGTTGTTGGACGTCCCGCAGTCTACAATATGCCAGACATACACAACTGTTGTATATCCAGCAGTCTACAGTATGCCAGACAAAGTTCGTTCTACTTAAATCACTGCCTTTCCTTGTAAACATATCACCGCAGGTGGGCTTAAACAATATCCTGACCAGCTGCGGGGTACCGGTGGCCACTGCATCAAGAGGACCCTGACTAATACATACCTGTGTTTACAAAATCCTCGACCAGTTGAGTCTTGAAAATCTGTCTTGATAAACAGCTCTGAGAAGCTCTTGCCTATAGTCGTATTAAAGCTCTTAAGACAGCTCTTATTACATGCCATGTCAAAGAGATGTTCCTGTCAGAGAGACATACAGAGAGACAGACAGATGAAGACTCTGGGGTTACACAGTAACGAGGTGAAATGATTGCTTTAACGGGGTCTCAATTTAATCAGCTTAGACATGTATAGGAGGAAGGAGGAACGAAGGAAGGAAGGAGAAAAAAGGAAGGAGGAGGGAGGAAGGGAGGAGGAGAGCGGGAGGGAGAGAGGTAAGTGTGGGAACCAGGAACTAGAGGAAGGAGGAGGAGGAGCTGTGAGATGTAGAATATTAATGTTTCTCACTCAAAAATATGTTAGAACATCAATGTATCTCACAGATTATATTTTCTGTTGATGACTCGGGTTTAGAGCTCCAATGTGAATAATACAATAATATTATTATTATTATTATTATTATTATTATTATTATTATTATTATAAAAAAATTAATAAAATAATACGATTATATATATATATATATATATATATATATATATATATATATATATATATATATATATATATATATATATATATATATATATATATATTTATATATTATATATTTATAATCGTATTATTTTATTAATATTTTTTATAATAATAATAATAATATAATAATAATAATATATGAAGTATATGTGGTTCTCCTGCTCTCAGCTGGAGGGAAATTTACGTAGGAAAATGTTGATAACATCTTCCTCAGGGACCCTGAGGAGTGCTGAGATGGAATGATGGAAGAAGGATGGAAGAAGGTGGAGATGCAAGTAGGAGAGGTGGAAGAAGGATGGAACAAGTAGGAGAGGTGGAAGAAGGATGGAACAAGTAGGAGAGGTGGAAGAAGGATGGAATAAGGAATAAGATGCAGAGCAGAGGAGAGAGAGGTAAAGGACACAAGATGGAAGAGCAGAGTATAGAGAGAAAGAGAAAGGGAAAGAGAGAACAAATAGAAATGGTATCAAGGAGAGAAGGGGCATGAGAGGGGAGGAGGAAGAAGAAAAGGGAAGAGAGGAGCATAGCTGTGAAGAGAAGGGGAGAAGAGAAAGCTAGAAACGCATCATAGATGAGGAAATTATATTATTATTATTATTATTATTATTATTATTATTATTATTATTATTATTATTATTATTATTATTCATTTTTTTTGGAGGGGATGGCTAAACCCACAGGGGGGTCATACAGCACCCTCAGGGAGACAGAGGTATTCAGGTTTGATCCGAGAAAGAGGAGAGAAGATCCAGTTCCTTGGACCTGACTTATCTTGATGTGTGTTATGTTCAACATGGCTCTCTCCCACACCAGCGTCCAGCAGTAGTCCACCCTCAGACATATGTACTGACTCCCACACCTTCCTGTGTTACTGTGACTTGTAAATGGTCCAAGTCCGTCATAGGTTTCTCCTTTGTGTACTGACCCTCAGGTTAATCCGACATCACTGTGCCTGGGGTCAGATCCCCCACCATGGGGTCCTGTTCTACAGAAACGTGTTGTGTCTGGGGTCAGATCCCCCACCCTGGGGGTGGGGGATCTGTTGGAGCAAAACTTTGTTCAGATTTGGAGTTTAGGGAGAGGAACACATGCGCATCCTTACTGAAAATATTACAGACTGTTTCCTGAGAGCAACTTGTGTAGTATAGTGATATAGTGTATAAACAGTGATAGTGTATAAACATCTGTACACGAAGAAAATGTTTATTCATGCTACTGGAAATATTAGTGGTATCCATTAAGGCTTTATTTGGCTATCAAGCAAACATAGTCTGGAGTTACACACACACACACACACACACACACACACACACCGGTCCTAGGACCGGTACTGTTTCTGGTATATGTGAATGACATGACGGAAGGGACAGACTCAGATGTGTCCTTGTTTGCAGACGATGTGAAATTAATGAAGAGAATTCAGTCAGATGAGGATCAGGTAGGACTACAAAGGGACCTGGACAGGCTGGAAGCTTGGTCCAGCAACTGGCTCCTAGAGTTTAACCCCACAAAGTGCAAAGTCACGAAGATCAGGGAAGGTCAAAGAAAACATCAGACAGAGTACAGTCTAGGTGACCAAAGACTGCAAAGCTCACTCAAGGAAAAGGATCTTGGGGTGAGTAAAATACTGGGCACATCTCCTGAGGCGTACATCAACAAGATAACTGCTCCAGCATATGAGCGTCTGGCAAACCTAAGAATAGCATTCCAACACCTCAGGAATCGTTCAGGACTCTGCACACAGTGTACGTCAGGCCCATACTGGAGCATACAGCGCCAGTTTGGTACCCACACCTGGTCAAGCATGTCAAGAAATTGCAAAGGTTTGCAACGAGACCAGTCCAGGAGATAAGGGGTGTGTCCTACGAGGAAAAGTTAAGGGAAATCGACGTGACGACACTGCAATACAGGAGAGAGAGAGAAAGAGAGAGAGGGGGGGAGGGAGGGACATGATAACGACATATTAAATACTGAGAGGAACTGACAAGGTAGACAGGTAGTTTCAGAGATGGGACAAAGCAATTAAGGGTCACAACTGGAAGTTGAAGACTCAGATGAGTCACAGGGATGTTAGGAGGTATTTCTCCAGTCACAGAGTTGCCAGGAAGTGGAATAGTCTGGAGAGTGATATAGTGGAGGCAGGATCCATGCATAGCTTTAAGAAGAGGCATGATAAAACTCATGGAGCAAGGAGAGAGCGGATCTAGCAGCGACCAGTGAAGGGGCAGAGCCGGGAGCTATGAATCGACTCCTGCAACCACAGTTAGGCAAGTACACACACACACACACACACACACACACACACACACACACACACACACACACACAGGCACAGTAACTCACACGGACTGGTTATAGGTGGGCCACAGTGGTCTTCACTGTCAGACCACAGTGGCCCCCTCAATATTCGGGAATTCATGGGCCACATTCGGGCCCTCTCTGGCCAGGCCAGCTTCCATGAGAGGCCATGAGGATCGGTCAAGTGTGCTCTTCCGCCCACCTCGTATGATGTGATGAACAAACTTGGCTCATTGTTTCAACTCCGTCAAGGTCGATGAACAAACTTCTCTTACAGAATCTTGCCTCAGATTTTGCTTTTCCTTGGCACCTCAGTAGCTGTGGTCAGCAAGACTTTACACAGTTTTACTTGAGTCTTTCTTCCCACAGCAACTTATCTGCTGTGATCATTAAAGCGTGCAAAGTCTTAACTAAGTCTTTTTTCCCACAGTAACTCAGTAGCTGATGCATTTTTTACCCATCAACAGCTGGGTAAAAATTCATCTTACTCTCCCTACTCTACTACTATACTACTACTACTACTACTACTACTACTACTACTACTACTACTACTACTACTACTACTTTTTCTTCCCTCTCTTTGTCACGTCCCTGTCCCCCTTACCCATATATATACACTGGTTCCCTCAGTGGTTTGTGTGTATTAGTGTGACATTGTAAGTGGTCCAAGTTGGACCGAAATGTCGTCGTGAGCTTCTGGCTCCTATGGACGAGCTATTTCATTATAGTACTCATCACCTTGTCGGCACCTCAGTAGCTGTGATCAGTAAGACTGGGTTTTACACGAGTCTTCTTCCCGTGGTGTAAGCAAGACAACTTAGAGTGTGCACAGAATGATCATTCTGCAACCAAGACTCTGCTAGACAGATCCACGGATATGCTAACACCTATCTCTGGGTTCTATAAGTGCTGCAGTAACTCCAAGTATTTCGTCATTCCTCTTTTTTGTTGACTGAAATCTGTGGTTCGGGATATAAAGGCTGATACTGCTGTCTAGGTAATTAGAAGTGTTTACTAACAGGTCACATTTTTACTCTCGGACCACAGAGTCCGATAGGAAAATAATATCATTCGCTATTTCCCAGTGACTTCAACAGCAGCAATAATAATAATAATAATAATAATATTATTATTATTATTATTATTAAGCAACTTACATCAAGATGGAATACGAATTATATTAATAGGGAAGCGCTAAACTCGTAGGACCCCCCCTCCCTAACGACAGATATCTCCTCCATTGATAAGTTATCACTTTTTTGTCGCATCTCTTCTTTCGGCTAATGAA